TCGGCTTGCTCTTTTAAACTAACCCAACCTTCTTTTCGTTTTAGTTCTCAAAACTTTTTTCGCATTTGCTTATGCATCTTGTAATTGAGTTTCTAAATCCTTTTTCTCTTTCTCTAATTGTCCTTTTTCCTTTTTAGCCTGTTCTGCTTCTGTCTTTTTAACTGCTAGTTTAATTTTTAAATCAGTTAATTCAACTTGAAGTTTTTGAGTAGTTTCAGTATCATTATAATATTTCAAACTTTCCTCCATTTCCTCTATTCTTTTTTGAAGTTTTAAAATTTCTAGGGTTTGATTTTCTAACTCTAATTGTTCTATTTTACCAGTTTCTCCTTCATCAGTTTTAACTTCACCTTCACCAATTCCATAAGAAGGTTTACGATACTTAATTATTTCAGTTTCTAACTTTTTAATGGCATTGACAATTCCCCAAGTCTTACTTTTTTCTTCACTCAGATTTAAGTCCTGGGCTAGTTTGTCTCGTTCTTTGATTAATTCATCAATACTAATTTCTTTATTTTTGTCTTCATCATAGATACTTAAAAACTTCTCTGTCTTAGCACTTAATTCCTTAACTGCTACACTCACTTTACCTTCTAACAATTTCTTAATTTCAACAGGAGCTAAAATACCTAACAGTTCATGAAAATTATCTAAAAAGGTATCGGCATCTTCCAAAAAATCACTTCACTTCTTTTCCTGAGCATCATAAAGATTTTCTTTTATCCAAGTAGTAGTTCCATCAGCAAGAAGAGGAGCTGCTACCATGGCTATTCCTACTGGTAAATTAACTGTTCCTGCAACTACTCCACCTCCTACTGCCACTGTCCGAAAAGTTCATTGAGGTATGCTTCAATATTTATGATTGTTGAACTCTTGGGGAGATTGTAGTTTACCTAATTCATTGACATTACTTTCTCTCTGGTTAAAGATTTTTTTCAATCAACTACTTTTAGTTTTTTGACCTCATTTTTTTAAGAATTGTTTGAGATTGCCCCGAATGACAAACAATCTTTCGAGAGTAATGATATTAGAAATCATCTTATTTTGTTTGTCTTCTCTTCATTTAGCAGGAATATAGTATTTAACTCCATCTTTTTCTTTCGAACAATTACTTTTATCTAATTCCTTAGTTAGTTCGATAGATTTATGTTGGTAATCACTATTACAAATAAGATATTCGCAACTTTCTGGCAAATATTCTAATCCTTCACTGAGGTTGGTGTTAGAAATATCTAACACTTCTAATTTGTTTAGATTTTGTAAAGGTTTTAAACTTCCTTCGGTGGGGCAATTACTGATGTTTAATTTCTCTAATTCATTAACTGATTTTAGAAAGTCTAAATTAGTAGTAATCTTATTATTATTACAAATAAGTGTTTCTAGATTTGGACAATCAAGCAGAACTAGATTAGTTAATTGATTATTAGAACAATCTAATTCTTTTAAATTAGTAAACCCTTTTAGATATAAGAAACCTTTTAATTCTTTACTATTAATGTCTAACTTGGTAATCTCGTCTCTTTCTTCTCGCGGATATTCTTCATTTAATCATTTCTGATTAGGACTATTAATAAATTCCCTATATTTTTTTAAATCTCAGTCAAAATATTCTCATTCTTGCTCAATAATTTTTACTTTGGCATCTTTTCTTTTATCTGTTGAACAATAAAAATATTTAACACTATCTGGCAAATAACCACTATCGATGTCAGTATTGGAAATATCTAAGTTATATAACTCATTCAAATCCTTTAAAGGCTCTAAACTGCCATGGAAACGATTATAAATATTTTGGTTAATTTTGTTTTTATCTGAATTACCAATATATTACAATACTCAAATTAAATGTTAATTAGGCAGGCCAGAGGATGCCTGACCTCTCGGTCTATAGCCTTTATTATGATTAACTTTTTTTATGGTTAACATAAACTTTCCTTTCAAAATAACTTTCAACAACAAAAAAGGAAAATCTTTTCCCATTTTTATGTTATGGTGGATCCAGTCGGTTTCGAACCGACCGCCTTCTGTGTGCAAAACAGATGCTCTACCAAATGAGCTATGGACCCGAACTCGCTTATATAAAAGTGTTTATTAATTAATTTTAATAGACCTTTTTCCCAAAAAACCTCACTCTGTCTATATGAAAGCAAGCATATGACAGAAAAAGAATTAGCAACTAATAATATGTCTGCCAAAAGCAGTGAGGTCCCTACTAACCAACAACAGCAAAAAGTAGACAAAAAATTAATCACCTTACAAGGAATAACCACCTCCCAAATTAGAACCCGAGAAAAATTATCCGATACCCCAGCCTATTGTTTTTTAAAAACAGACCAGCAAGAACAGGATATTCCGGTAATTTTCCGAATTAGAGAACAAAAACCTTGCCCCCATCATAAAAAATATTTCTCCGATTTACAAAAAGAGATAAATTGTTGTCCCTGATATTGTAATGGGAAATTAGGAGACTGAATCAAACCCAAAATCAAAAAAGGCTCCTATTTACAAGTAGAAGGACATTTTACCGACTCGGATAAAAAAAGAAAATCCTTTACAGCCTATTCTTACCAACTCCTAAACCAAGAAGTAAATCAGCAAATAGAAACTCATGACAAATATGCCAAATAACAAAATTTACGATCTAATTGGTAAGATAAAGGAGAGAAAACTAG